ATTGTGACGTGGTTCGAGATGCATTTCCACAACGTTGCAAATTCCTTTTAAAAAATAATGAATAAGACGAGCCCCGACAAACGAAATACACGAGCTGCAGGGCCCTCTATACGTGTTGGTAAAATTACTTAGACTTCGGGATGGGCCGTTTAGCAAAGTTTCACGGCCTTACCCAAATAATGATACGCTAGTCGCTTTAGGCGCGCCTTTAATAATTTACTTTCTTAAACTCGGGTGCACATTTATGTGACCAAAATCCAAATCTCAACAGAGTTGAAATGTGTCAATAACCACGGGTGCATTGATGTGACGAGGTTCGAGATGTATTTTCACGACGTTGCAATTCTCGTTAAAAATAACAATAATAAAAGCGGTAAACAGTAAAAAAATTGCACATAGGTTCAACATGTATTAAAATCAGATAAACAAGCCGAATATGACAGTTGAGCGATCGTGCTAGAACCACAGAACTCGGGAATGCCTAACACCTTCTCCCGGGTTAACAGAATTCCTTACTCGGATTTCTGGTTCGCGGACTGTAATACAGAGTCAATCTTTTCCTCGATTCGGGATTNAAAATCAGATAAACAAGCCGAATATGACAGTTGAGCGATCGTGCTAGAACCACAGAACTCGGGAATGCCTAACACCTTCTCCCGGGTTAACAGAATTCCTTACTCGGATTTCTGGTTCGCGGACTATAATACAGAGTCAATCTTTTCCTCGATTTGGGATTCAACCGGTGACTTGGGACACCATAAATCTCCTTAGTGGAGACTCTAAATCTTTAAATAAAATCTCGTTTCGATTGTCCTTTAATTGGAAAAACTCTCTCTACGCTCTTTACGGGGGCGCGGGTGAAAAAGGAGGTGTGACATAATTCACTTAAGTTTTTATTTTCTGAGTTAAATTAGTAATTTTCTTGATTTCTACCATTGTTGAGTGACCAGAGTCAGTTGTTAAGATTATAAATTTTCTGTTTCTGCGTTGTTTCAAATTTTTTAAAAAAAGAGGAAAACGAAAGACTAAAACCCTCAACAAAAGAATATATCAAAACTGCATTAATTAGAACACATAGTATTAAGGTTCACAATTCTTTTATTTTTCATTGTATAAAATTGACTAGATCTTCTCGTTTGATTCCTCAAGGTACAACTTTCTCTATTTCCAGTTTTCTTCTTTGAATTTTCTTTCTTCTTTTGCCTTCCTTATGTATGTTGTACATATTTGATTATATGTTTCGGATATGTTAACCTGAGCACGGATCTGATTTTCTCGTCAATTTTTTGCCTTTTGTGAATTTGTTTAATCTCTGTTTCGTTAAATAAATTGATCCGGTCGGTTGAAAATTACCTATACCTATCTTTTAGTAATTTAATAATCTGTTCCTTTGCTCTATCTTCTGTTGACTTGAGGGATTGTACGCTTTTGAGTTTTTACCGCTACAATTTTGTCGGATTTGTGGATGGTTGATGATAAAGTTGGTGAATTTTTGCAGAGTACGTTAATTTCTTATTGTGAAATACTGTATTGCTTGTTAATTTGGTGTTGGAAATTAAATTAAGTTGTGTGTTGTGTAGTTTTCTGCATTTTTCCTGCATTTCCCCTGCTACTGTCGGGGCTACACCAGTGGTAGCGGTGACAGCCCCTTTTTGGTTTTTGGGTCGTGGTATTTTTTGTGTTTTCAGGGAAACTCTCGAAATTGTTGGAGACAAGTTGGGCGCAAGAGCACTAGCAAAGGAGAGCAGCCTGGGCGAGTGTCAGCAAAGGGCGGTGGGAAGCGGGCGTGAGCGTACAACTACATCGAGTATAGCAAATCAATCACAGGTTTTGTTCTCGGGAGTTGGTACCTCCCGCTTTACTGTTTCCCTTTTGGTGTTAGCTAAATTGATGTTCTTTAGTTTGCAATAGTTCAATCATTCAACTAGTGTGCTAGTAGTCACTTGTTTCCTTCTAGTTTGATTCATTGTCCGTTGTGCACTAGCAAGTCTTCTTTAGATTGTCGTAGGTGTAGTGGCTGTAGTCTGGGATGATAGAATAAGGGCATGTCCTCGAGTGGGGCAGGGTGTGAGGCAGAGTATGGGGCGGGGGTCAAGGGGTAGGACAGGAGGCAGGGGAGGTAGAGGNCAGGAAACTAGGTGGGTCGGATCGAGGGCGAAAAACGCGGATGGGTATAAGTTGTGGTACTCTGGAGTCCTGAGGGGTAAGAATGGAGTGGGTATCCTGGTAGATAGCCATCTTAGAGAGTCGGTGGTAGAGGTCAGGCTAGTGAATGATAGATTAATAACTATTAAGTTAGTGGTGGGTGAGTGTATTTTAAATGTCGTTAGCGCGTACGCAACACAAGCAGGCTTGGATGAGGAGACTAAAAGGCGTTTCTGGGAGGAGTTGGATGAGATCGTTCGTAGTATCCTGCCTTCCGAGAGGTTATTCATAAGAGGAGACTTCAATGGTCTTATTGGGTCGTCTGCAAGTGGTTATACTGAGGTGCATGGCGGCTTCGGTTTCGAGGAGCGGAACGGAGGGGGAACTTCGTTGTTGGACTTTGCCAAGGCATTTGATCTAGTGATTGCGAACTCAAGTTTTCCGAAGCGGGAGGAGCATTTGGTTACTTACCAAAGTTCGGGGGCGAAGACTCAGATTGAGTATCTCCTCCTCAGGAGATGCGACAGAAGGTTATGCGAGGATTGCAAGGTTATCCCTGGTGAGACCCTCGCAACACAGCATAGGTTTTTAGTGATGGACATTGGTATTATGATAAGGAGGAAGAAAAGGCCAGTACGAGGCCATCTAAGGATTAGGTGGGGCGCCTTGACTAAGGATAAAGCTCAGGAATTGGAAGGAAGGTTATCGGCAATGGGATCGTGGAGAAGTAGTGGGGATGCAAACACTATGTGGTCGACGACGGCAGACTGTATAAGGAAGGCGGCGAGAGAGGTGTTAGGGATTTCTTTGGGCCGCACCGGTGGCCACAAAGGAGACTGGTGGTAGAATGCAGTTGTCCAAGGTAAAGTGGAAGCAAAGAAGGCGGCTTACCTGCAGTTAGTAGGGAGCATTGGCGAGGAAGAGAGGAGAACGAACAGTGAGAGGTATAAGGTAGCTAGGAAGGAGGCGAAGATGGCAGTCACAGAGGCTAAGACTGCAGCTTTTGCTCGTCTGTATGAGGACCTGGGGAACAAAGGTGGGGAAAAGAAGTTATTCCGACTGGCTAAGGTGAGAGAGAGGACGGCTCGGGATCTGGACCAAGTGAGGTGCATAAAAGATGAGAACGACAAAGTTTTGATGGGGGATGACCAGATTAAGAGGAGGTGGCAGACCTACTTTCATAAACTTCTAAATGAAGAAGGGGATCCGGATATCGTACTAGGTGAATTGAGGAATGCCGATAGTCCCCATGAATTAAGTTATTGTAGGGACATTGAGGTCGATGAGGTCATGGAGGCGATGCGTAAGATAAGAAGGGGCAGAGCTACCGGACCAGACGAAATTCCGATTGAACTTTGGAGGTGTGTGGGTAGTAAAGGCTTGGAATGACTTACTGGGTTATTTAATATTATATTCAAGACTAATATGATGCCTGAAGAGTGGAGGTGGAGTACAATGGTTCCGTTGTATAAGAAAAAAAGGCGATATCCAGAGCTGTAACAACTATAGGGATATCAAATTACTGAGTCATACCATGAAAGTTTGGGAGAGAGTGGTAGAAATGAGAGTGCGACGGACAGTGTCTATTTCAGAAAACCAGTTCGGGTTCATGCCGGGGCGATCTACCACAGAAGCTATCCACCTTATTAGGAGGATGGTGGAACAATACAGGGATAGGAAGAAGGATCTCCACATGGTGTTTATTGATCTGGAGAAAGCGTACGACAGGGTTCCTAGGGAGGTCTTATGGAGCTGCTTGGAGGCTAAAGGGGTTCTGGTTGGCTACATTAGGGTGATTAAAGACATGTATGATGGAGCTAAGACTCGGGTTAGGACAGTAGGAGGCGACTCCGAGCACTTCCCGATTGTTACGGGGTTGCACCAAGGGTTTGCGTTCAGCCCATTCCTATTTGCCCTGGTGATGAATGCACTAACTCATCATATTTAAGGAGAGGTGCCATGGTGCATGCTATTTGCTGATGACATATTTCTAATTGATGAGACACGAAGCGACGTCAATGGGAGGCTAGAGGTTTGGAGACATGCCCTTGAGTCTAAAGGTTTCAAGTTGAGCAAGATAAAGACGAAATACCTTGAGTGCAAATTTGGGGTCGAGCCAACGGAAGCGGGAGTGGATGTGAGGCTTGACTCTCAAGTCATTCCCAAGAGGGGTAGTTTCAAGTACCTTGGGTCAGTTATTCAGAGGATCGGGGAGATCGACGAGGATGTCACACACCGTATAGGGGTGGGGTGGATGAAGTGGAGGTTAGCGTCGGGAGTCCTGTATGATAAGAAAGTGCCACCGTTACTAAAAGGTAAGTTTTATAGAGCAGTGGTTAGGCCTACTATGTTGTATGGGACTGAGTGTTGGCCGGTTAAGAACTCACACATCCAGAAGATGAAAGTAGCAGAGATGAGGATGTTGAGGTAGATGTGCGGGCATACAAAGATGGATAAGATTAGGAATGAAGAAATTCGAGAGAAGGTGGGCGTGGTCCCCATGGAGGACAAGATGCGGGAAGCAAGACTCCGATGGTTCGGGCACATTCACAGGAGGAGCATTGATGCACCGGTGAGGAGGTGTGAACAACTGGCTGTGGTGGGTACAATGAGAGGTAGAAGGCGACCTAAGAAGAATTGGGGAGAGGTGATCAGGCAGGACATGGCGCGACTTAGAATTGCCGAGGACATGGCCCTTGACAGGGAATTGTGGAGGTCGAGCATTAAAGTTGTAGGCTAGGGGAAGTTGTGAATATTTCTACAGCGCACTAGAGTGAGATTAGCCAGTTATGAGTTAGTTTTAGGATTCTAGTGGTCATCTACTGATGCAGGGCTTTAGCTGCTGGTTATTATTATACCTTCCATCTATTTCGTATTTCTTATATTGTTGTTATTTTATTATGATTCTATTGATGGTACTAATATATCGTCTCCTGTTGCTTTCTTGAGCCGTGGGTCTCCTGAAAACAGTCTTTCTACCCCTCGGGATAGGGGTAAGGTCTGCGTATATATTACCCTCCCCAGACCCCACTTGTGGGATTATACTGGGCCGTTGTTGTTGTTGTTGTTGTTGTTGTTGTTGTTGTTGTTGTTGTATATGTATATTATATATTGACTAGAAAAAATAAACATTAAATTCGGTGGACTATTTGGGTAACCCAACTGAATATATTTTGGGCCTTAACCGAAGCAGCCCAAGAGTTACCCGTCCATAGAAGATTCACCAGCTATTTTCACAATCGATCTCTTTTTCTTGTTCTTCAAGCCTTGGCTATTTTCACAATCTCTCTTTCCGATTCCGAACTTTACCTTTTCAGCTGCAGCAAGTAAGTCGCTACTAAGAACTTCAATTTAAGTTTCTTAACGATTCACAGTTCCATTATACTGCATTCCTGTCTTTAACTTTTGCTCTGTGGGTAGGTTTTATTTGGAGGTTAAAATGACGGCTAAGACAACAATGGATGTTCCCCAAAAAGGTGGGTTTAGTTTTGATTTGTGTAGAAGGAATGAGATGCTGGTCAATAAAGGACTCCGTTCTCCTTCTTTTCTCAAGACTGGTACTACCATCGTCGGCTTAATTTTTCAGGTCCGTTCCCCTTTTTTAATTTGCTAAATTTCGGTTTGGGTTAGTTTTGTTTGTGTTTTATGGGTCTATTGTTGGATTACGTAAGTTAAAGGTTCTTACTTTGGAATTTTTTTAATGGTTTGATGTGGTGAATATTTCTGCAAAGAATAAAAAAACTACAAGCAAAGCTTTCAGTATTAGGGTTATTGCCCCAGGGGCAGGGGCACGGGATGCGTAATATTCCTGATTTTCGTCTAGGTCAACGAGTCAACCATGCCTCATCCCAAAGTTTGTCGGGGTCGGCTATATGAATCTCCTTATCTGTTCTACATTATTGGGTTCATTTCATTCCAACACTAAATCATTTTCCTTTAAAGGTAAACTAGGGGTTCTCGGAAAGGATTCTTTTTTTTTTTATAAGTAAAAACAAAGGATTATAACATGGTCAGTGATGATTCATACAGCCTACCTAACTTGTTTGGGAGTAAAATCAAAGGATTGTTAGATCTCACACAATTTTCATGTAGACGTCTGAAAATATGGAAAACGTTGCCATAGCAGACCATTATTATCTATTAACTATTAAGTGACCATTATTATCTATATTCCTCCCGAGCTTCAAGACAGGAAAGTTTATTCATATCAACATAATAAACATAGATTTATTCATATCCTAATTCCACTCACTCTACTCAATGTTTTCAGTTCAACGTCTTCTCTTTCTAAATATGGTATGTTCTGTTAATCTGATGTAGCAAGATCTTGCACCTCCTACTGCTTACCACATGTATTTGAAAAAGAGAAGCTAATTTTCTTGCTAAAAAGTGAGATGTATGCCTCAAGCTGTGAAGCGAACGCCTTATTGGACTTTTTTTTTAATGTGCTAAAAAAATCAATATGATCAATGATACGGAAAAAATAGGAAGATAAACAGAGAGAATTTTAAATGATCTTATGATGGAAACACCTCTCATTAATTGGCTAAGGGCAAAAATGAAGTAAAAATCTGAAGGCCTCACTCAAATATGGGTACTCCTTGTAATAAGGGTGTAAAAACATCAGACCAAAACCATACAGGTGGAGGCCTCACTCAAGAAAGCTAACTCCTCAGCATAATTTCACCTCTGCCATGCACAAGGCATGTTGGCAATGCCTCTTGCATTGTGGTGCGCCTATATAACACTGCTCAGACCTAATTCATTGCAAAGGGATTTATTCTATTTACAGAGCAAAAAAGAGGGAGCGAATTTTGTTCTCCTCATCTGGTAATTCAGAGATGTTTGGATTCTCGCACAGAAGTTGTGTAATGAAAACCATTAAGAGCAAAGATGTTTTAACATTATAGGGGTCCAAGCTTACCTTAGTTTCATTTAACTACATTCATAAGAAATTCTTTTCAAAATGGTGTTGTGCTTTAGTTAAAATAGCAATAGAATCATATGGCATCACAGAGATCATACAATTTGTTGAAATTAATTATACTGTAATCGTTCAACATAATCAGCAACTGACTAGAGCATACAATATGGTGACTCTTGAGCTGGTTGCTTGTATGATCTGCATTCTTTTGCGTTGCCAAATAATTTAGTTCATCCGACCAGAAGTTTGACATCAACACTACTGTGAAAAAGGAGGAAAAAACATATTAGAATGTCATTTAATGCTGCATGGATTTCCTTGTAAGTTCTTGGTCAAAAAAATGTATTTCGTATTAAGTTAGTAGTCTAACCATACGCATGAGTTGTCTGCAATCTGTGTTCTTTTTAGGCAGAATACATATTTTACCCCCGGGCTTGAGGCCTAATTCCTGTGACAATCATGTCGACCACGGGTAACCTCTTACACACTCACAATTGTGTCTGAGACACCACTTTTGACCAGACCACTTCTTCTTGGAGATTGTATCACACTGGCCAATTAAAGCATGACACGTGTCATAGCTCAAGAAAAAAAATCTAATTTGCACTCAAATGGCCAACAACAACAACAACAATCCAGTATAATCTCACTTAGTGGGGCTTGGGGAGGGTAGTGTGTACGTAGACCTTACCCCTACCCTGAGGTAGAGAGGCTGTTTCCAAATAGACCCCGGCATCCTTCCCTCCAAGAACTTCCCACCTTGCTCTTTGGGAGACTCGAACTCACAACCTCTTGGTTTGCACCCAAATGGCCAAAAAAATTAAAATAATTTGAAGTAGAAAAACATAAATGAATCCCTCCCCCCCCCCACCCGTCTCCTCTTCTTCCAAACCCCACTTTTGATCATCTTCTCCACCTCCTTCGCCAAAAACAAATTCCAAACCCTCCTCTCCACCAACCCGCTCCTTCTGTTTGTTTACCTCTATTATAGTTAGTTTTAAACCTCATGAAAACTCATCAATAATTCCAAGAAATTCATCTCACCCAAAATCAGAAATACTCAAAAGACTATTTTTTTTCCAGATATGTTCTTGATTCAATCAAGAATTGGAACATAGTCCTGTTTCCTTCTCAAAAAGTCGTGTTTCATAGAATGGAGTATTATCTGATAAAAAAAGAAAAATAAGGAAAATATAAAATTCATCTTCCAAATCTAGAGTTGTATAAGAGAGAGGACGAAGATCTTTCAAATCTTGCCGGTGATAATGGTGGATTCATCGCGGTCGGACTTCAGCCTCAATAGCTTCGTCGGTGATTGATTTTAATGGCTAAATAGTAGTTATAGAGAGGAAATTAGGTAGGGACTGCATATTTTTCTGCTTAAATAGCAGGAAGCTTGAGGAAAAGCTGTTGATGAGGTCACAAAGCAGAAGGTAGTCTTTCAAGATCCAGAAAAGAACGTCATACTTATTGAGAAATATAGAAGGCATCATGATGTAGGTCATTGTCTGGAATTGAGACCCGTTAGTTTCTACTTTGTGGTATTAACTTCATTCAACTGATTATATAACTATCTATAAACACATTTAGGTTGTCTTCCAGAGAATGAAATTAAAATAGGAATGCTGATAAAAAAACCGAATGAAGAGTTATTTGCATTTCAATGAATAGTACCTCTCAAAGATTGCTGCTCCTTCACATCTTTCTCTTCTTTCCCTCTTCTGTTGTTTTTATGGACAATTTGGCTCTTTCTGTAGTGCTCTTATTGATTTTCCATGAGCCCTTGCATGATGAATCAGTAGACTCTGGAAATAGTGCTTAATTGACATATTATAACATGCTTGTTAGAAAATGTGACATTTTGGGGTTACTTTATCTGTTCAATTATGCACAAGTCATGCAGAATCTAGAATCGATGCCCTTAATCAACTTGTTGAGCATGATTCTTGTTCAGGATGGTGTTATCCTTGGAGCCGACACACGGGCAACTGAAGGGCCAATTGTTGCCGATAAAAACTGTGAGAAAATTCATTACATGGCTCCTAATATATATTGCTGCGGAGCTGGGACAGCTGCGGATACAGAGGCGGTTACTGGTAATGAGCTTTATATCCTTATTCTAGGAGTTCTTGGAAATTGTTTGCAATATATATACCTTCTCCTTTTAAGTTTCCAATCCGGTTCTCTCTCTCTCTCTCTCTCTCTCTCTCTCTCTCTATGTCATCTCTTAATGTTAATTTAGAACTGTTATTCTCTAGACATGGTCAGTTCCCAGCTGAAGCTTCATAGGTTTCACACTGGTCGTGAATCCAGGGTTGTGACAGCTCTTACTCTTTTGAAGTCTCACCTTTTCAGGTAAAGCTTCTATTGTTAATGTTCCTAATAGGCATAGTAGTGTCTTCGAGTGCATTAAAAAATCAATCCTAGAAGCCTAACTATGTTCTCTTTACCAGCTACCAAGGCCATGTCTCAGCTGCTTTGGTCCTTGGTGGTGTGGATGTCACAGGGCCCCATCTGCATACTGTAAGTAGTGTTCACATTTATATTTGTGTATAAGTATGTATATAAATGTATGTGGGCGTGTGTGTGTATATATTTTTCCTCATTTTCATTAAAGTTCCACTATTTGGTCAATCGATCGCCTCTCAGATTTATCCACATGGATCAACTGATACTCTGCCATATGCTACAATGGGCTCTGGTTCCCTCGCAGCAATGGCTATCTTTGAGTCAAAATACCAGGAAGGGATGAACGTAAGTTTGTTTCTTTAAGCTAGAGTAGTTTGCTGCATTTGGTAGATGTATTATTAATCCTGAATGTTGAGGGGAATTTGTTGCAGAGGGATGAAGGGATAAAATTAGTAGCAGAGGCCATATTGTCCGGAGTATTCAATGACCTCGGTAGTGGCAGCAATGTTGATATCTGTGTGATAACAAAGGTCAGCTTTCCTTTAAGTGAACCTAATGGGGAAAAAAAAAGCTCTCCTAGCGATAATGACGAATTTTCAGCGTAGAATGCATAACACCATTTTTTGTTTTTTTTTATAGCATGTGGCTTCTAAACTTTTATCTTGATTGTTAGGGAAACACGGAGTACTTAAGAAACCATTTGTCGCCTAATCCCCGCACCTATCCACAAAAAGGTTACTCGTTCCCCAAAAAGACTGGTTAGTGTTCTCAGACTTGTCAACATGCAATGTAATAGAGCAACTATCACGGTTATTTGAATTACGAATGGAATTTTGCTAATGCGTCGGCTGGAATTCTTTGGCTTGCAGAAGTTCTCCTTACAAAGATTACACCATTGAGAGAGATTGTACAAGTGATTGAAGGTGGAGATGCCATGGAAGAATGACTTGTATTGCAATGATAAAATCCATTCGTGAACTATTAGAGTGTCAAACAGTTACATGAGTATTTAAGTGTTGAAAAACCTTCAATTGCATGTCTAAATGAAGTACTCTGTGTTATCAGATGTAGCTTCCAAAGAAACTCCTTGCTAGAAAACGAATGATTGGTTTGATTTGAAGAAAGGATTTTGTTGTTTTTGTCACCCTTGTGCTGTCAATAATTTTGAACCACTGACTTCCAGGATCACATGTAGTGTCATTTGTGCTCAAACACTTGCATGTTTGTGTGACAATAACATTGTTGGAATCAACATCCAAGCAAACACTAGTAGCATCTTGTAGCTTAGAAGACAGGTGCATCTTAGAGTCCGAGATGGTTTCCCATTTTGAGCTGTCATCACTGCATGTTATACCAAGTTTTGCTGGCTCCCCAAGCTTATCTGCTTGCAGGCAAAAGTAAGTTCCGATGACTGTCAGTGTTTTTTGGGGAGCATACCTCCATGCTGCAGCCTCAGAGCATGAACCTAACTCCAATGGCTGCAGAAATGAGGTTCTTCGAACACAAAGCCCTGTCTTTGGATGGAAAATCACTTTATGGAGACGAGTCTCGGTATAACCTGGTCCTGCATTTGAACCAAGGTAAATGCTTAGTTCTTTTTTCATAAAGAACTTCTAACAATTATGTTGCCAGATTGTGTGTCGGATCCTCCAAAATTAGTGCATTTTTGGAGGATCTGACACGGGTGAGGCAACATTTTTGAAAAGTCATAGATGTTACCACTTCAGCTTATACCTTGGAATGGAGAGCGAATGGCTGAGATTCTTTCCAGAAAGCTTGAGTTCCTGATATCACGCCAGTTGCAATCTAAAACCCCATAGTACTCATTGAGTCCCACAACCCCATCTCTCAAATAATAGCTCCCAACAAGTGTCCAGAGTGCCCAATCAAAGTCAAGTTGAGCTGCCAGTCCAAGAAAGCAATTGAAATACCTATTGTCATTCACATTAGTGCCTCTTTGATCCACTCCAAACTCGCTCACAAACAATGGGTAGCCTTGTTGTAACACAAATGTTCCTTTGCTCACCATGTCATTCAACACTACTCCGCATGCTTGGTTTGCACTGTCTCCTGACCAAGTATCTCCATCTGTGAAACCGTATCGATGAATCTCATAAACTAGCTTGCCACTGAATGTCAAGTTTACTGGTCTTTGGTGCAAGAAAGAAAGATCCTTGTCGAAACTTAGGCCGGATAGAATAATAAGAACATTGGGATTAGCTGCATGCACTGCTTCAGCTCCTTTCTGCATGTACCTGCCTCAACAACCACCACTTTAATTGGTGAACCATAGCAACAAATATAAATTTTTAAGCATTCAGGCGCGGTAAAATGTTTGAACATAAACTGCATTCACGGTGATGTGTTGCAACTTAGCCCAATTATATACATTGTTTAGATGATTTTCAGGTATATATGTAGTGCACGCTGCAACGGAAGTCATTTTCAGGAAAATATTAATAGGTAGATTTTCAACTATGTTTAGAAGATTTTTTGGCGTTAGGTTATCATCAGGAAAAAAGGAATTCATTCATCAACCAAAATTAGAAAGCATTTTCAAGAAAAAGAAAATTTCACTCACTGATTAAAACTTGGAAAATGTTTTCAATCTTTAATGGGAAACTTTCTCAAGATAATTTTTTTTATGAAAGATTAATTCCGCTATACCAAAAATATTACTCTCTTCGTTTCCGTTTAAATGACATACATTCCGTATTAGTCCGTTCAAAAAAGAAAGACATATTTCTATATTTGAAAACAATTTACCTTTAAACTTTTTATTTTACTCACTTTACCCTTAATGAGAAGCTTTTATAGTCACACAAATACTTGACCCCATAAAGCTTTTAGCCCTTAACCTTTTAGAACTTCATTTTTCAAAAGTTTTCTTTTTTTCTTAAACTTTAAGGCAAGTCAAACTGTATCATCTAAATTGAAACGGGGTATATTATATAGTTCGAGCTTGAGGCAACAGATAGGTGCAGTGCAGATGCAGCCTGCCGTCAACATGTAGTCAAAATTCAGAAATTTTGATAGATTGAATAGTGGTATGTACCTGTACCAATCATGAGCATTTTGTAGAGGTCCACGAAGTTCATTTCGTAAGCTCATGCCTACTACATTGTTAGTACCCTTGAAAATGGTGGCTACTTTGGTAAGGCCTTGGAGCCAGAGGTCAGGGTCAAAGTACTTATCTCCAAAGAAGCCATTGCCATCGAATCTGCTGCAGCACCAGCCAGGCTTGCTTATGTGATTATCTAATATGATCATTACATTGTTTTTTGCAAGGCTAGCCACCACTGCCTGTCATAAATATAAATGGATAATTGGACATACTATATATGGTAAAGTCAACAACTGAAAAGAGTATTGATATAAGTTTTTCAACAAAATTAGCTAATATATGGAGGAAAAACTAGACGTCTCAAGAAGAATGACACTGTTACTAACTATTTGAGAATATAATTTCTTTTCTGATGATAATTTTATAATATTTTTACTTATATAAAATTGTGATTTTGTGTAGTTTTTTTAGTAAATGCATGAATGTTGTTTTTAAAATATAAAGTATCAGTCTACAGATCAACACTGAAACTTATATGGATTAACTGTCGTATTTTGCACTATGTCATTCTGTTGGAACGGAAACAGTACATTTAGGTTGTTTATCATCCAACAAAATTACAATTTGAATGAGGATATCTATAAATTTCATAATATTGTGTTGGGATTGTTCTACTTGGTCAATAATTGCTTTTTAGGATGCACCTTTTTTAAGAAATAAAAAGGAGTAGTGGCGTGCAAGAAAAGATGATATTTGTTGGAGGTCACCATCACTACAGCGTCATTGCTACTCAATCTACTTATAGATAAAATAGAATAAAACAAAAAGGATTGAATCAACTATTATAAACTGGTTTTTAAGATTCCAAACAAAATCGTTTCATTGAACGAATAGAGTAGCTCAAAGCAACATTTCTCTATTTGATTCTTTTTCAAAAGTAGATATAACATCAAGTTTTAGAGAAAAAGAAGGAATTACAGAACTGCACAATTATTCATATTCCTGCGATATTAAGGTGGTGACAAATTATTGTCAGTGGCCAATGAAAGAGATAAGAATACGTTCCTTAGTTATGATATAAATAAAATTAAAATTTGATCTATACCAAAAGTTTGATTTGCCAATATGGTTTAAACAAACTTTGACACGCATAGTACAAAAATTAATTTAATGAGCATAATTACATAAACTGATATATCTATAAACACAAAAAAAAATGTTCACGATACTCTTTCACTCGAACAATTTAAACAATTTAGTTGGTCTGTGAAAATATTCGACATTTTAAAAGGAACACGAGTTGATAGGTTTTAAATGGTGGGAAAATCCATTAAAATATTATGTTTGATCTCTTTATAAAAAATTATACTGGATCTATATTATTATATAGTGATCGCAATGATGGAAAATGACATCGATCCAAATGTGGACAATAATTATGGGATGGAAGGAATATATACTTTCGGCGAAAGTCTTCCATCAACATAAAATAATGCTAACCGTATTTTTCCTTTTTTTCCCGGAGCTAACCCTACATTGTTGAAAAACTACGTATGCCCATTGGAATGTGACTTCTAACCACCTCTCTACCTATCATTTATTTATCTTATATTTCTCAACTTCTTGTTTGAGCAAGAAAAAAATATTAGCGTAAGTCACTAGTCAAGCAACAAAATCATTAAGTCATTTGTAAAGTAATTACAGAAAAATTTATGTCTTATCAAAAATGATAACTAATCTTGAAATATACTGATGATGTAAAAAATCTTTATACGGAATGCAAATTAAATTTGTTACCTGGTAAGCATCGAGGACAGAGAGATCAACAATGGAAGGATTGTTAGCTTGAAGACCAACAATGGAAGCAAAGAGTCCAAGGTTCTTGAAAGATTGTCTTACAGTTATTGATCCCAAAGAATCATTAGTAAACAAGAAGAGTGGCCATGTAAGTCTAACACAATTAAAACCCATGTTGATAATAGCTCGAGAAATTGCATCCACTGGCTGTTGGTTTAGCCCTTCTGCCACCATAACTTCCATATGTGACACCCAATTTACACATGCCAGTTTCACTCTTTGCCCTGTTGAGTTCACAATCCATCTTGATTTTGTGTAAAGTGGCTGTGATGAAACAGTAACATGTTGGTTGATGATCAGAACAAATAGAAATAGATGAATGCTGGAGAAGGAGGATGATGATGGCGACTTCCACATATTTTACAAAGTCTTATCTGTTGTTTTTAGGATTCTCGGGTCATTTTCCTACGGGGAGATGACTATTTATAGCTAAGGCCACCTTACCCCAGGGATAATTTTTGGGTAATTTAGCTCCAACCCTCCCCTATTTTTGTCCTCAAAATGGGGATGAATTGTGTTCCCTCAAATATGGGGTACACTATTCATTACTATTCATCACTTTTTTATTTTATTTTATTATTTAATCTTTTAATTTATCTCTTTATATGTACCTAATTATATTTATGTAATGTCTTTATAGTATTAATTTTATATCTTAACTTTGGTGTATAATTTTGATAAATTAATTTTCGTGCATTTATTATTTTTATGTAAACTTGTAAATTAATTTTATTATAAGTTATAATTGTACAAAAAATATATAATTATCTCAAAGATGTTCATTTTGCACATAGAAGAATTAAGGACAAAGATGCTCATTTTAGACTTCGAAATGCATTAATAGATCATTTATGGGAGAATACTAGAGGTTGAAGTTGAATATTTATGTAGTATTTTGAATGAATTTTATCGTTATGTAATATGTATTTCTTGTATCGCAATGATTTCACTTTTATTTGAATTATTAGTTAATCTATAATAATTGCTTACAAATTATATTATTTAAAATTTTATGAAATTGTTTTAATGAAAATTACAAATTAATAAAAATAAAAGATGGAATTTGTTTAATGAAAATTAAAAAATAAAATTGAAATGAAAGATAATAATATAATATAAAAGAGAGAGAAGAATATAAAAAAGTTTGGAGAAAAAATGGGGGAATGGTTGAAGTAAGTTGTCCCCAAAATGGGGAAATTCCCGTTTTAGACCAAAATGGAGTA